GTGTTACAATGTACGGAATTTCCGAGCCGGACGAAAAAAAAACAATCCGATCAAGGTTAATTAAACAAATTTTACCGGATATTTAACCCAGTGTAGGTTTTAATTGTGTTATATTATATGCTCAGTGAATCTTTATCTATTCCAAAATAAGTAAAAATGTACCGTACAATCGTATAATGGGAAAAATTCAAGCATGATAACACCACAACGTTATTTATGGCACTAAAAAAATGTCTTAGCGAATAATAATATTTGTCCTGTGCTTGCATATCATAGAATTCGGGAAAACATCAATTCATTTGCATACAAACATTCTCATAATGAAATCTTATACTCGGAATTTTATTGATGTTTGTATTTGCCCGTAAAAAAATATCTAATCATCATTTTAATTTTGTTTTCTAAATTTAGATATCTACCCATTCTTTAGTTTTTTCAAATTCTCCGTAAAAAACTTTTGATAACTTGCATGGATTTTTAATTCCAACGCATTTGTAAGCGATCAACTGAAATACAATTTGTCATTTGGTTACTCAGATAAATAAGTCAAGTTATAATAACAATTTGCGAATTTTATTTTAAGAAATTTATTTATTATATTATAGTTGTAGTTGTAGATTTTGTAAAAAGCGAAACATTTTTCAATTTGAAAAAGGGCGTTTAATACACAAAAATTTTATTGGTATTATACTATCAAAGGAAGGAAATCAGAATTTATCCGTCATCTGAACAAATATTTATTTGTAAAATAAATATACAGTACTAATAAAAATTATGTATCGAAATTTTAATAAATAAATTATAATCGTAAAGAACAATTTTACTATGAGGAAAAAAACACGTATGAAACTTTGTAAAAAATAAATAAATAAATAAATAAATATCAAAGAGATCATCTTTGCATAACTACAACATTCTCGGTTCGATCACAGTATCTGATTCCGAAATTTAATGATTCAAAAGAATATGAAAAAGTCCATTCAACTTTAAACATTTCTATTAATTAATCAGCAAATATTTGGATATATTTTCTTATTTTGTTCCTAAAAAAGCTGTCCCGGACGTTTGCCCATTTTAGTCCATGAAGTGCAGGATGCGATGATTTTCTTTGTATCACAGGAAATCACAGAATAGAGTTATAAAAATGTTGATAACTTTTAAATTTTTGCCTGATTTATTAATTTGCAATCATCGTAATGCTGGCTGACATTAAATTCGGCCAGAATTTGCGAATATAATGTTGGCTGACTTTACATAATTCTGGCCAAATCACAGAATTGGCTCTAAGTGTAACACTAGTGACGAGCTCCGGCACGTGACTATGAACAAAAACTTTAGACGACACTGTTTCCTAGTGTATTAGTGTACCGAAAGTTTTCTATACATATATATATAATAGTATTCATTCTGAAAGACTTTTCAAATGACAAATGAATAAATGACGAATGAATAAATGACAAATGATATAAATTTCTGTTTTTGTCATTTATCACTTACAAATTTGGATGATCAAAGGCCATTACCGAACTGGTTCATTATTATTACTAATATTAGGATTTTTCTTTTAACCTTTTAAATGCCATTATTATCTTTGAATAATCTCATTCAGTAAATAAACTCCAGCCGAATATCTACATGATCTTGGTTGTCTTTCTTAGGAAAAAAAACGGGTTAACGTACATAGAATTTTTGATAATTTATTGAACGTTTTTTATTGCTGGTAAATTATCACGTAATTTTATTTTTTATTTTTAATATAAAGACAAGAACAGAGCGGTGTACAAAACAATCTGGGAATCGTCCCGCTTGGTAATTATCATTAAATTCAGTTTCATTATGAATGATATGTTGTCACGTGATTAATACATAACAAAGATTTCAGCCATAAGAGGACACTTTTTCTTTTCCAAGTTAAGACGACTATTGTAAGTAAAACTTACGAGGGGGGGAAATACAAGAAGATGGATGTACATATTAATGTGACATTGCATTATTACTAAATGGTTTCAATAATTTTCGTGCAAATTATTTTTGTGGTCTGTTGAGGACCCAGATATATATATATACAGGGGTAGGGTACACAGATGCGTCGCCATCATAGTGGAATTAGACGGAGTAAAGTTTTGATTTGCGTACAATTTTAGAATTTTTCATCTATAGTTAGGTCATCAATATTGCGTATTTTTTATCAAAATTTTTATATGTAAAAAATTAGTTTGCGTATTTTTGGCCTAAATTTGGCTAATCTTATATATAATATATTTACTGTACGTACTTATTTAATTAACCGCATTGTAATATTTAGTATTAATTGAAAGAAATTTCTAAGGGTTAAAAAGTGAAATTTTAGAAAAATATTATTGAAAAAATGGTAAATTCTATTTTTCACATTAGTATTTGGTTTTATAAATAATATAGAAGCCATGATAAAATAATTAATAGCTTAATGTCTGAAATTTTATTTGCGTATTTTTGCAGGATTTTCAATATCAGGTGTCAATTATGCGTACTACTCATATAAAAAGTCTCTGCGTACAGCTCATAGTAAAAAAATTTTTCGCCACCTGACCCCTATATATATATTTCTGGGTCCTGTCTGTTGTTTGGTGAATGCATTTCGAATTTTTTTCCGTTAAAAATAGACCACTGATGTTAAAAACAATATAATTGTATAATTTAAAAAATGAATTTCCTTATCAAACCCGAATGTAACGAATTATTTTCTCGTAGCAGTTTGAACAAATAATGTATCACAGCCATTACAGATGAAGTTTAGTGGTTACTATTAAAAATTCGCATTTTTTAATGACCGAATATTACCTCAATAGTAATTAAAATATAATTTCCATTTTATTTTACTTTATAAAAAAAGATTTTTCCACAAACACCCCCTTTTCATAAAGTTCTAAGATTTATCTAAATTGGAATTTTCGATTTTTTAGGCAACCCGAATTAAATAAATGCATCAGATCAATTGATTCGGCAAATTTTTTCCGAAAATCTAACGCAAAATGGAAATCTGTAAGAGGACAGCAATCTTTTTTTTTTCTAATCCAAGCATTTCGCATTACACAAATTATACAAAAATTATCGTCATTGAAAAAATATGCAATGTAATAAATAAGTGTCACAAGGAACTCAAGTTGTATATGAAGGTATCCATTCCAAGAATTGAATTCCTCGTAGAATTATTTTACTCTATATAATATTTACAGAAAAACCTTTCACTATTTTTTCTATGAACTGAATTTTATCCCCTATTTTTTTTTAATAAGAATTCGATCAAAGAAAAAATTTTTTTTTCTCAGCTTCTTTCTTTGTTTATTTATGTTTTATAGTTTGTGGTAGAATAAATTTATGTAATCAATGTGTAAGCTGCATACTATGGGGTGAAATAATACGCACACGTCTAGATTTTATAAAGTTCCAATGCTGTTTCACATCATAAAAAAAAAACCTAAAACAATAAAAAATTATATATATATGTTTATATTATATGAATCTTTTCTGTAACGCCCGCGAAAACGGGGAGTTTATTATTTTATTTTTCTTTTTATAAAATGACGAAAAAGTAACTATTTATCTAATCAATAACTATTTAAGAAAATAATAATAATTCACGGTTCAAGAATCGACAGATTGTCTCATTTAGAGTTTATGTTTTCCCATAAAAAATTTTTGAGAAAAACTCCGACAAATGATCATTTTTCTAGTTTTTATTTCAAAAAGAAAAAAAACTCCGACAAATTGATATCATTTTTCTCCAAAAAAAAAAGCTCCGACATGTGAGACATAATGATTAATTTTCTAAAAAATTTTTTATAAAGATTTGTAAAAAAGTACATTACTATGAAAACACAAATTTATTCTATTCTATCGATTTCCTCTTTTAGGTTAACTTACAACACATCATATAACGAATATAATAGATATTAACCACAGATCACAATCTCGTAGAAAAAATACATTGTACAGCCTACAAATAAAATAAGTAAACAAATAAATACTGTATTTATGAATTTCTTCTTTGTCAATTAACGAAAAAACTAAAAATTATAATTAACGGTTAGTGTTTGGACTTAACACTTAATATAATAATTAGAGAAAATTAGTGTTCAGTTATTAATAGGATAAATAATTTTATTAGGAACAAATATCATGTAAATTACAGTAAATGCTGTAGTTAGAAACAAAATAATTTGGTTTGTTTCTTTATCTATATTTATTTGTTTATGTTTTACCGTTAAAGAAATAAATCAATTCAATTTCTCGTTGGCCAAAGGATAAACACCTTTTACGATTTTACTATAATTAATTAAAAATGGTAGAGAATGAAATATTCTATATGATCAAACTATTACTCTTTTCGCAAAATGTTTCCCACTTCCATTAATTAGGTTTTAATTCAAATCAGAGCGAGTCAATTCGAGATTTTTTGATCCAAAGAGCCTTATCGAGTCAGGATTAAACTAATTTAACGCGAGCGAGTCAAAGTTAAAGTGTGGGCCAAAAAACTATTAGGCATAACAAACCGTTTTATTAATTATGTGATCCAGATTCGGTCACCGAAACTGGTTGAAAATACTAGTTATTTCAAATAACATAGTAGAAGTACTTAACATAGGTATCCGGACTTTTCACCGAAGTCCATTTCGCCGAAACCCATTTCACCGAAGCAATTCCGCCAAAAAGATGTTTCACCGAAGTGCCATTTTACCGAATGGACATTTTACCGAAGGACATTTCGCCGAAGCCATTTCGGCGAAGGGACATTTCATCGAAGATATAGGATTTATAAGACAAACGAATTATTTACACATTACAAGTTGCGTTTGTTCATTTTATTTTAATTACAGTAAAGGAAAATTAATTTTATCATCAATTCGAAAAAAAAACATTTTTTATTTTCTTGTATTGATTAAGGAATTATGTTAATCACTATTATTTTCGGCGAAATGTCCTTCGACGAAAGAATAATTCGGGGAAAAAGATTCGGCGAAATGTCCTTCGACGAAATGAATGATCCGGGGAAAAGGATTCGGCGAAATGTTTATTCGACAAAACGCCCATTCGACGAAATATCCCTTCAGCAAAACTTTCCTTCTGCGAAATGGGTTTCGGCGAAATTGACTTCGGCGAAACGTACCGTAATCCTTAAAATATATTTATTTATTTATATTTGAAAACATTTGTATATTCTTCTCACGATAGACTTTAAGAAACAATCATGATTCCAACAATTATGAAGGATCTCTGACTCTTAAAAATGAATGTTTTCATATAAGAGCCCCTGTAGATTTTTTTCAAGCGTCAAGTAAGGATCTCAAGAAACAAAAGAGGAAGGATTCAAGTCAGAAAAACAAAAAAGAATCAGAAGGAGAAGCATATGACATCTTTTTGTTCAGATAAATTTTTTTTAATAAAAAATAAAAAATAAAGAACCTAAATGGGGCACTTTAATCAAGGAAAGTAGTCAATTATGAACATATTTAGATAATTTGTTTTTTTTTCCTCAAAAAAAAACTTATCACGCGAAAAAGGATAAGAAGTACGCCCTATAAAAAATTCTGGAAAAAACTCCGATAAATGATTATTTTTCTAAGAAACAGACACATGATTATTTTTTTGAAAAATTTTTTATAGGGACAAGCGGCTAATTCCAAGAAGAAGCGAGGCATAAAGTCGAACCTATGGCCCATTCAAGCGCTACTTTAATTATTAGTCGATGTGTTAGGTGGAAGGTACTAGAAATGAGCTTTTATGGGTAGGGACATTACCATTACGGTAGAGACAAAAGTTCTGAATATCAAGAAACAATTGGAATTAGGCAATTATATTATTTATTATTTTACATATGTACATGATAGTTCCTGACGAGATTTCGCTATCCTTGTGATGCTTGGTTACTTATAGAGGAGTAGCTAAAGTAGTTTACTATTTATTAAGTGAAATAGGGTATAATGCGGCCCTTTTAATTTGGTAAATCATGCTTTCTTTAAAGCCTTGCTTTTTCTATCAGCAGGTGAATTTGCGCCTGTCCTTTTTCACATTTGACTCTCCTTGACTCATACGGAGGCTTTGGCAAGTTCCATGCTATTAGCCGGTGTAATATTATTACTTACGGTTATTTACGAATTCTGCTTCATCAGGAAATTTTTTCCATGTAAAATCCACATGGAAATCCACATCAAATATTGTGGAATTATGTGGAAATCTGAATAGCTCCAATATTTTCCGAATACCCGGTAACGATCGAATTTTCGGCGTAGATCCACAAAATTCTACGTGGATCCACGTAGGATATATGAGAATGTGTGGACCGATCTACCTAAAAATTTCATGTTCCTCTTTTCCCTGAGGCCTCTTCTTATTATACTCCTTTGGTCAACTTATTGGAATTCGCTCGTAACAAAGACTACCACACAATAATCATGGGCGATTTCAATGTATCATATGAAAATATAAAGAAGATTACAAACGAAAAGGTTCATTTCATTGGTCGTATAATAATCTACACCAAATCAAACACAAATTTTATTAATATGTAAGATGGTTTTAAATATACACCTTGTGTACGATTAGTATTATTTATGCCTCTAAGTACCCCTGCGTCAAATTAATCTTAAGAGTATTATTGCTTACGCTTCTATATCGTATATGGCTATTGCGGTATTGCCACACTGGTATCTTCTCCAATAATGTACAAGGCATACTAGAAGGGTAAATTTTACTATCAGTAAAGAGGTTATTTTTATTGGAAATTTAGCCTAGGTTAACCCCAAAAGAAAAGGATATACCTGCTAATTTTAGCGAATTATTTATGAGCCAAACAATTAATACTTTTAACTATTCCTTAAAAGAAATATTATTGAGAATTTACCCCAGAAATGAGAAATGATAAAATTTTGCTTTCTTTCATATTATTTCGAATTTTTATGAATTAATAATTTAGTTCTTTACACCTTACCAGTAATCATCACCAATTAGCAGAATCAAATTCTTATATATTCACTTTTACTAAGTAGGTTTATAGGAACGCTTGTCACTCCATTCATAGTTATAAGTAATTTTTTTCTTTCTTTTTTTTCTATTTTGTAAAAAGTTATATATATTTTTTTAACTAACATTTTTGTTATACCCTCTCTATAGCGAACTTTTATACAGTGAATAACTTGCTATAATGAAGAAAAATTCAAGTACAGATTTTTTTATATATATAATAGAAATTATCTTCAGTATAGTGAATTTCTCACTATAATGTCCATGAGGGTGGAATGTATTAGGTTTTAGTAGAATAAAAAAGCAAAGTCTTTTGTACGATCCCGTGCAGTCTCTGGGCTTTGTACGGAGAGACAGGATGGATTCAAGGTGCTTAGTGTGTTTTAACAAATAGGGTTTAACTTATTGCTAGTTATTTATTGATGTTTCAGAAACACTATGTACTCCACTTATGCTTTTTTGCGCAAAAAAATAAATAGCTCACTTTCTTTCGTAAATTCCACAACGTATTCAATCCTATTATTACCTATTTGTTAGTCTAAATCCCATTCTGATAATATATTTTAAATATAATCAATATTTACTTCAATAACTGAAGTAAGAAGTCCAACTGATTTAAAAAAATTGAACAAAAATCGACGAATATTTTTTTATCAGAAAACTTGCATTTAAAATTTGTAAAGAAGGGGAATAATCAAATTTTCTAGATTTAAATTAATTATAAATCGGACCTTAAAGCATAAAAAAAAAGAAACATTTAATACATGTAATTATATTCATTATTTACTTTAAAGAAAAAAAGTTTTTATTTTTAATTTACTTTCTTTATTTTATTATTATTCAATCCTTTAAATGACTTGTACATGTCTAGTAAAGGTTGCATTAAAAATAAAACTTAAATATCGGTTAATTATATTTTTTGGGTGTATGTACTAGATAGATTTGCGATCTTTTTGTTTTCATTAATAAAAACGATTGAATATTTCATTTTGTATGAAGTAGTGAACTTTAATCGAGTAAATCATAATTCGGGCCAAAAATTAACATTGAATTTTTAGATACAAGCACGTGAATTATAGCCAATCAACATCAACACGTGACCGTGCTAACGACAATTTAACATGACACTATTAATTATCACTGCGTATTTATTATACAGATTTTTTATGTACATTTGTTAGAAAAGGCTGTTTGCAATTAATATTGTTTTCTCAATTTAATGAATTTCATAATTATACAAAGTATAGATATAAACAATAACTTGTTAGGAAAAAAAATTTTCTCTTCGTGAAAAATTCTAGACGCGAAATTATATTTTTATTATGCAAGCCAGTATAATATTAGGCCACCCGTAAAGTGTAAAACAACCCTACTAATTTACTAATTTTTTAAAAAATGTCGTAAATAACAGCGATATTAGTGAAAATATTTTTTTCCATTGATTTTCTCCTTTGTTAGTTAAAAAGTATCCAATATTTCAACCAATTAGAAATGAGTTGTACCTAATTTCATATGTTTAACAAACTTCTACCAGTCTTCTTGCCTTATCAATAAGTATCATAGCGTATACTAAAAAATTCTAGTATAATGAAAAAAAAAGCGAAGCAAAGATTCGAATCAATAAAAGGGAATTTAATATTTTAATTATTTTAATATATCCATTTTTTTTTATAAAAAAGGAGCTATTTCTAGCAACTAAATGAATATTCACAAAAAGATTCGACAAAGATTTTCCCAGAGGACAAAAGATCTTGTAAAATCAATCATCAGCTTATGCATGGCTCGTGCATAAAATTCAACTGAGAATGGATGATCATAATATTTAATGGTTAAACTCGTATCATGTTAGATGATTATATAAACTTTATTAAAAAAAATTTTTCACAAAATCTTAAAAACATAAATAATTTAGTTAACCTAATCATAAAATATATATAAAAAAAATTCTTATAGGTAAAATTTTCAATGTCATCAAATGAAAGATACTTAGTAATAAAATAATAACAAGAGAACTAGGAGGAACTTCAAAGCTTTTTTAAGGAGGAATAATAAATTAAAATAAAATGGAAAATAAATGACATTAACATTATCTGTCAAAATTTATTATTTAGAAGATTTATAAAAATAAATAATTGTTACGACGCAAAATCGTAATATTATCTTTTCTAATAAAAAAATGACTTTAATAGTAAAAAGTTTGTGGAAAAAAAATTTTTTTCTTCCCAATTAAACACTTTGAAAAAATTTTTTTTTTTTTTTTTTTTTTTTTTT